AACCACTAATTTCCTTGGCTATTAGGGAGTAATAACATACAGCAATCCCCTCTAAAGCTAAAGGTGAATGTTTTGCCTTGAGCCATGCTAGCTACCCATATTTCTTTTAATTTAAAGAGAGATTTAAATCCTAAGGGCAGATAGAATAAGGGTTAGGGTTAGGGTTAGGGTTACATGACAGACATCAAAAGAGACTTATGCAGGAGTATCATTGTGCGCCTTTGAAAAAAATGGTATCTGTCATTATGAAGAAGGTTCTCCGTTATTTTATTAGAATTTTTTTTAAGCTTTGTGTGTTTCCTTGAAATCTAACCAGCTAATAAAACTCCAGTCTCTTGTATCAAACAATTCCACCTAATAAGATTCAGGAAGAATAACTTCCCAACTCCACCCTGAGTGAGATGTCCTGACTCTGTTAGGCTTTTATAAGGCATGGAAGACCTAGTTCTCTTCCCCACCTCCCACCTCCACCCCCATGCAACAGGCCAGGATGATTGCAGAGCCCATCTTTGGTGATGTATGGTTTTTATAACATCCTGGATGTGATCTGTGGTTTTAATTTTAAAAAAAAAACCAGATTTATGGTTGCTGTTAATGGATTGTTAGCCACCCAGAGTTGCATGGCAAGTGATCAGCCCTATCAGCTGAATAAATAAATAGAGCGATAAGATCAGGGCTTGGAAATGAATGAGGGAGGAGCCCATCCTTCACCTGTACAGGTACCAGAGAAAGGGTTATGACCTGGGTTTGAAGTCTCAGCCTTTCTGAAATCCCCTCCTTTCAATCCCAAAGGTGCTTTTCCCCCACCCCAAAAAAAGGCAACTGGACTTCTTGGTTTTTTTCCCCTTGAAAACATTTTGCTTCTCATCCGAGAAACTTCTTCACTTCCGGCTGAATGGTGGAGAATGGAAGGATTTATATTCCTTAGCATTCATCTGGTCATTAGGACTCTGAAGGTTGGTTCTGACTCCCTGAGAGTCTTTGATGTCAGTTGCATGTTTATCAGGGCCTCCTGAATCGGAGTGCAAGTAGGCATGGAACAGAGGTGGGTTGCTCCTGGTTCGGCCCGGTTCAGCCGAACCAGCAGTGGTGGCAGCAGGAGGCTACGCCCACCCACCTGGATACTTCTGCGCATGTGCATGTACAGAAGTGTTGTGTGTACAAGCACGCATGGGAGCATAAGCGAACCAGTAGTAAACCGGTTAGCAACCCACTACTGGCATGGGATCTTCTTGGGACTGCTGAAAGGATAGTGTTGTAGACAGGTGATAGGTAGCATCATATCCCTCCCTCTCTGTTGAGAGAGGACGAGGAGTGGTATCCACTTACTGTCCCTATTGGTTCACAAATGTGAGTGCGTGCGTGCACTCTGCCTTCTGTGCATGTGTTTTGCCTAAAAAGGGTGGAGGGGCTAAATGGGATGCTGTAGAGCTGGGAGGGGTGGGCAGGGCCAACCGCGATTTCTGCTACCGGTTCAAGCGAACTGGTCAGAACCAGCAGAATACCACCTCTGGAGAGGACTAGTCAATTCTAATAGAGATGACCCCTTTGACGCCTCTTTTAAACCAGTGAAGACCAGCTGAGGCTACAGATAAACCCCCAGGTGGCCCCAACAAGGCCATTAAGGAATATAAATATGAATCCTTCCGTTCCCCACCATTCAGCCGGAACTAAAGAAGTGTCTTGGATGAGAAGTGGAATGTTTACAAGAAGATGGGGGGGACCAAGAAAGCCCAGTTGTGTTTTGAAAAACACCTTTGGGACAAAGATGGATAATTGAGAATCTCCATAGGCTTCCTTCCCATCCCTCTTCAAAGAACATCATCACAGACAGAGGGCTCTTTTGACCTTAATGGGATCATTAAGTACTCCAGCAACGACCGAGAGAGATGGTGACATCCACACCCAAGAGGTGTTTGCATAAGAAGAAACAGTACCTGAACAGTACCTTTCATGGCAGGCGCAGTGTAGACACTCTGCTTCCTCTGTTTAGGGGAGACGTTCTGTGACTGTCAATGAAAAGAATGACCTTTTAGTGCAATCAAGAGCTAAAGATAAAGGTATCACATGCCAGATTACAGGGAGGGAGCTTCTATAGCAGTGATGGCTAACCTTTTCTGCACCAAGTGCCCAAAGCACGCACGAATGTGCACATCCATAATGCAATTCGCGCTCAATCCCACTGCGCCCCCCACCCCTATGCATGCATGCACAACCCCTTCCCCCTTGCCCCCATGTATGTGCGTGTGACCTTCATGCATACGTGGCAGAAACCAGAAAACCTGCTGGTTGGCAGGGAGGCACACGCGCATGCATGGTAGAGCTGAGTTGGGACGGCGGCTCATGTGCCCGTGGAGAGGGCTCTGCGTGCCACCTGTGGCCCGCCTACCATAGGTTCACCATCACGGTTCTATAGGCTCTTTTCTCAACGCAGGCCCACACTGAGTGTAATGGTATAAGAGAAAGACCTTGAGGGGTAGATAAAAGAATTGCCGCCTAGGGAATGATCAGATAAAAGAGAACACAGCCCAAAGCTTTATAATGGGTGGAAGAAGAAGCTCATGAGGGACCTTCCCAGTGGTGGGTTTCAAAAATCTTTGGAACCTACTCTGTGGGTGTGGCCTCCTTTGTGGGAGTGGCTTGCCGGCCCTGTGTTCTCTCTCTCTCTCTCTCTCTCTCTCTCTCTCTCTCTCTCTCTCTCTCTCTCTCT